TTCATCAGCTCACCGCGACCCGACAGGTTCAGTGTTCTCCCCTCAGTGACACATCAGAACCTCTGAAGTACCCTGATTTCTCGGCCGGGCACTTTCGTGTCTAGAAAACAAAGGCTTTGTGGCTTGAGGTGGGGGGAATACTTGAGCTGTTCAAGGGACTTTTTCAGAAAGGCACCTCATTGGGCTATAGGCAGAAAGTCAGCAACATTTTAATGGACTCATTCTGAAGAGTCAAAACCAACCCCATGCCCAACCTGGAATCTGGGGATCCTTCCACCATGTTTTATCTTCAAAAATGCAACCCAACACCACGGAGGCAATGCTGAGTCTCACCTTCATCTCCTCTGAGTTCGGGATCCTGACAAGTGAGGCTGGGTCCCCCAAAACGCTGCCCCAGCCCCCACTGATGTCTGACAGTCCTGGCAGCAAGCACTACGGGCTCGTCCCGGCAGAGTAAAGAGCCCAAAGCCTCAGACGTAGGACCTGAGACCTCGCTCTCCTGGATGCCTTCTACACCGTGGTGTGGCTCAGAAGTTCAAATTTGCTGAAGATCATAAAGTAGAAAGAAGGTCCCCGTCCCAGCCCTCCCCAGCACCCCCACCATGATTTTCAAGGCTGCAGCAAAAGGCAAATGGTCCCTGGAGTTCCCCCTGCAATCATACCAGATGCTCACCACCCAAGAGTCTGGGGCAGATAAAATGTCACCCTGACCAAGACAGACAGTCAGCACCCCCACAGGTCACGGAGGAGGTGGGGTCCCGGAGCCAAGACCCTCATAGAAGCTGGAATGGCAAAGCCACATGGCCAGAGGCCCTCACACACGACCCACCAGAGACCCCCAATCTCACATGGCCCCAGAGTGACCCGCTGTGGGTGGAAACACTGACCCCCACTCCCTACACGACCCACTTGCCCCCGTGTTCCCCACTCAGATCACGCTCGGGGGAATCAGGGCATTACATTCCGGCAAACACATCCAACCCAGCACTGACGTGCTCACAGGACTCGGCTCCTCAACCCCCAACTCCCGGTGCCAGGAGGCCAGGGTTTTATGTTGAGAAGAGAGAGCAGGGCTGAAGGTGGAGTGGGCAAACTGGCAGAGGGAGGGGTCGCCCACTCGGCTGGCATTTCCCAAGGCCCCACGGTGCGCCAGGCTTCCCCGGCGGCTCAGTGCTCAAGAATCGGCCTGCATTGCAGGAGACTTGCAGGACACACAGGTGGCATGGCTGGATCGGGAAGATCCCCGGGAGGAGGAAGTGGCAAGCCACATCAATATTCTTGCCTGGGAAGTTCTGAGGACAGAGGAGCCTGGCAGGCTACAGTCCATGGGGTCGCAAAGACTGACCGACTGACTGACCGGCCGCACGACTGACCGATTAAACAAGAACCGTGTACCAGGCAGGGAACGGTCCAGAGGGGACAGTCAGACGGCACCGTGGGTGACCTCCCGCGGCTGACGGGAGCCCTGGACCCCGTGTGTGCCTGCGCTTTGTCACTCAGTCGTGTCCAGCTCTTCTGTGACCTCATGGACTGTAGCCCGCCAGGCTCCTCTGTCCACAGAATTTCCTAGGCGAGAACACTGGAGTGGGTTGCCAGGTCCTTCTCCAGGGGATCCCCAGCCAGGGACTGAACCCAAGTCTCCTGCACTGGCAGGTGGGTTCCTTACCGCCGAGCCACCTGGAAGCCCCTGCAGTGTCTGTACCCCAGTCCGAATCCTACTGCTTCTGATGACCCCTCTGCAGCCCCCAGGCCCGGCCTCAAGCCATCTCCCAAGTGTCCTCCTCCTCCACCCACCCCTGCCCTCTCAGCCGGTCTGGGGAGCAGAGTTCGGCAGACACATACTCAGCTCTGGTGACCGCAGAGCCCAGAGCCGGGACCAGGGGACCAGAGAACTTCCTGCAGGGCGATCCTGCTGTCAGCGGTCTGGGACCCAAGAACCCTCTTCCCCCTTCTCCTTCCTCCACCCACTCATCTAGCCCTGGTTCCAACAGCAGCCTGTGTGAAGACCCCCGAGCTCCCCGGCCCCAGCCTGCACTGCTGCCTGAAGCTCTCGAGTGTGGCTTCATTTTTCTGGGTGCACATGGAGATGGGGAGCCTGGTCATGAAGAGCTCAGAGTCCCCCCCCTCCTCGGGTCAGATGGGCCTGGTTCGGCCCATCACTCTGGCACGTGGTTCTGGGGGAGTCCTGGCTGGGAGATGCCCGTGGACCCTGGACCCTGCCCAGGTGCTCAACGGGACCCCAGAGGCACTTAACCGCCCAGTGAAGGGCCCTTCCTGGCACAGAGCAAGCCTGAACCAACAGGAACTTGAGGCGGTGGGTAAACACACGGGTCGCCTCACCCTGGGGTGAGACAAGGCCAAGGCCAGCTCCCGCGACCCCCCCGGGGTCCCAACAACACCCGGCCTCAGCTGCCTGCAGCACCAGCTCACTAAGGCACCGGGCTGGCCTCCCGTCCGCCCGGACTTACGCTGTGCTCCCGCCGCTGTGGTCTGGCACCCTCTCCACGGCAAAGTCGACCCAAATGCCACGCGTCCTATATCCAACCCATCCTCGGTCACACAGAGACAGCGACACATCCTTGGGGGAGTGACGGAACATGAGATGCTGGGCACGCAGGCTCGGCAGGGGTGGACATCTGCCTGGGGTCACTCATCTACCCAGAGGCAGGGCGGCTCTCAGAGAGGTACAGACTCCCGCAGAGGACTTAGCGAGACCCACTCGGGGCACGGGACGGGGCCAGACCCTCCCCGCCACACATCCGGCATCCGGCCCCGCTGGTGACAAGGGCAGATGCAAAGCTGGGGTGGCCACGGGGCAAAGAGCAAACCACCGAGTTCAAACCCAGAGGTTCAGTTCACAGGCTGCAGAACCGAGATCTCAGGATGGATTTACTGCGAGTCCAAGAATGAACACATTGAGCAACGTCTGCACCCGTGAAGGGCCCGCAGCCTCTGCGAGGTCTTCGGCAGAACCGACTTAAATGGCACAGTTTGCTAGTTCACAGTCAGAGATGCTGAGTCAGACAATTCAGAGGCAAGAAGTCCTCCCCCCCACCCCTCCCGCCTCCCTTGGAGATGCTGGAAGGACCCGGCGGGGGAGCACAGATTTCCCGTGCTAACTGTCCCCTTTAGAGCACAGCAGGAAAAGTCCCTGGCACAGGGAGCAGACAGCATGGGCTGGCAGCAAACGCCACCCCGCATTTTCCCGGAGACCCCGGTGTCTACACAGGTGCAGCAGGAGGGCCTCCAACCCCAATCCCTGCAGCCGGAGCCACGGACGTCGCACGCACCGCCGTGATCATCCCATCTCTCGACAGGCCGAGCCCTTACGGTTTAAAGAAATCATTGATGGGAGTGGGTGAGTGGTCCCCAATCCCTGCAGCCGGAACCACGGACGTCGCACGCACCGCCGTGATCATCCCGTCTCTCGACAGGCCGAGTCCTTACGGTTTAAAGAAATCATTGATGGGAGTGGGTGAGTGGTAATTAAGATGCGTTCACCCACAAACAGGTATTCTTCTTATAATGAGAAAATATGTTTGTAGAGAGGCGTTTACATCCCAGATAAGGAACGGGAGAGACAAGCCAGAAACCTCCCCGATCCGGTTTTAAAATCAGCACTTTCTTGAGTTCGTGGCTGGGGCGAGAAGGGGAGTGAATCTGTAGGGCGGGCCTGGGGGGCAGTGGGCAGAATCTCTAGTTTCTCCTGTCTCCCTCCCGACAGCCAGCCTGGGTAAGGAAGCCCCTTCACGCCTCCCCGGGCTCAGGGGGAAGTCAGGACGGTAGCCCCAAGTTTGTCACCATCGCAGGAACTCAGAGATCCTGGATCCCCGGATTGCTAACCACCCCGGGGTCGTGGGAGGGACCTGCACACCTCCTCCTGGTAGTCTGCCCTGCTCAACAACAGTTCCAATTCCCTTCACGGCAACCGGTATTTTTGTACCACTCTCTTGTATTAGGGGGTGGTGGGAAGAGTTGGGAGGGCTCAGTTCATCCTCTAGCGAGCTGTGCAGACATGAACTCATCCACATGCATAGTGTGCTTAGGGAGAGGCCGACACGGCCAGGCAGGATGCCCGGATCTCAGAGCAATTAGGAGGTTTGGCCCTGGCTCGTGGGAGGACTCGCATCAACATCGGGCGCGGGAGGCCCCGATGCTTGGCACTGGGGACCGGATGAGGCAAGCGAGACATCGGCTCCGCATCCTTGTGCGATTCTCGAGGCAGCTGGGCGCCCACCAGACATCCAACACGAAAAAGACCAGACAGCCAGATGCACGGGATCGCTCACCCGCCCTGCGCCTAATCTGGGGGGAGCGATCCAGGCAACAAGACACAGAGGCCACCCGGCGACTCCTCCAGGCACCCTGGAGCCCCGGGGCCCGCCCCCTGGATGGGATGGCGCCGTCTAGAGATCTCACCGCTGCTGGTCCAGTGGGCCTGCTCCCCGCTGCAAGTCCGGTGTAAGCCCGGGGCCGGAGGGAACAGGCCAGAGGGCTCTTCCAAGATGCAAGACTGGGCCCAGCCACCGGCAGGGCGATGGGACAGAGGAGGAGCCGCAGGGACAGTCCTCCTGGTTGGCACGAGGGGTACTGAAAAGGGGAGCGGTTATCAGCAGACAGAGCCAGGGACGCAGAGGCGGGAGGGGGAGGGGGACGCCCCCGGCTCTTCCTGCCTCCTTTCATCGCCATCTCCGACTTTAAACAGAATCGCGTGTGTTACAGAATCCCCCCCGTAAACCCATCTCAATCGGTCGCAAGGCGATCTGGTTCTCCGGTTGGATGGCAAGGCCCTGCAGCCATCGCCGAAGCTCTCGCCTGACATCTAAGGGGTTCCGTACCCCAACCCCGCCACGCATCAAGAATATGCAGCAACAGAGACGGAGAAGATGCTCAGACTCTGTTCCCGTGAAGTCTGGCTTAAAGCAGATTCCAAATCAATCCGGCAAGGTGACCAAACAGAGTCCCCGCGCGGTTCATGGGCAGACAGCCAGCCTACTCACCGATGTCGGTCTCCTTGTGGTTCTTGATGTACTCGGCCAGCTCGAAGTTGCCGGCGATGATTGCCACCTGCCAGAAGAGGAAATCACGTTAAAGCGCCAAGTGCGGGACACACTGCCCATCCTGACGGCCTAAGAGCAAAAGACGACCAATCAGAGCTGCTTTTGGAAAAACAAGAGATATTCCCCCTTTCCAGGCTTTCTGAGATACAGTCGATACCCAGCACTAAGCTGAAGGTGTGCAGCCTGATGACTTGGATGTTATTTTGCGAAACGATGACCCCGGTGAGTTTAGTTAACGTCCATCACCCACACACGCCGTTTCTTCCCTAGGACTTTGCTGGTGGCCCAGTGGCTGAGACTCTGCGCTCCCAATGCAGGGGGACGGGGTTCAACCCGTGTTTGGGGAACTAGATCCCACATGCCGCAACTAAAAACGATCCTGCGTGTCACAAGGAAGATCAAAGAACCCGCATGCTGCAACTAAGACCCAGTGCAGCCAAATAAATAATCTTTCTTCAAATGTGAACAATTTATCCAGAAGATTTTCTTTAAAAACAAACAACTTTTTTTCACTTATGATGAGAACTTAAAGGATCTACTCTTACCAACTTTCAAGTGAAACACGTAGCAGTGCTACCGACAACCATCGTGCTGAACACGGCATCCTCGGGGCTAGTTTGTCTTGTAACTGGAAGTCCAAATTGGGACCATCTTCACCCATTTCCCCAGCCCCCGCCCCGGGAACCACAAAAAATCTGATCTCTTTTTCTATGAGTTTGTTTAGACACCACAACAAAGTGAGGTTGAACAACGTTCATCTCTGTCTGATTTCAGACGGCGGAGGCCCTCAAGCCCCATGCACAGCGTGGACCCGTCCGAGCTACGGGAACAGCAGCCACCACGCCCACCAGCCCGACCAGAGGCTCCGCCTCCCCCTTGGCCCCCTTCTCCGGGGCCCTGGCCATTCTTGCATCACAAGGTCGTCATTCCACAAGAATCTGCGTCAGACAGTCCTCTGCCCAGAAGGCCACGGTGGGGGCAGGTCAAGGGACTGAGCCTGGAAACCCCCCGGAATGCATGCTGCATTCCCACCAGTCCTGACCGGTCCCAGCATGCTCCCCAGAGGTGGGGGGGAGGCATCTGTTCCTCTGACTGTCCCCATAGCTAGAGGGATGGGGAACCTCAAAAAGCACTCACAGCTCTTCACTGGGTTTCAGTGAAGCAGAAACTCCACCTACACACAGCTTAAACCAGCACCTACAGGCAAGGGTCCAGCTCAAGCCACACAGACACAGTGACTAAAGCAAAGAAGCCACGTGGTCCATGAAGCACTGAGGCAGCCAGGCAGGCAACGACAAAGGCCCTGGGGTGACCCTGGGGCCCCCAGGGAGACCTGATGCAGAGCCCCACAGGGGCAGGGCTCTCCACGCCCCACCGGGAAGCCCTGGACCCAGGAGAGTGGCCGTCTCCATCCTCAAATGAGCTGGGCGTTCAGACGCCAGCCTGCAGAGACACACGTCAACCGTCAGTCTACTGGCAGCGATAATGTGGGTGGGCCTTTCCCGATCCTTTGGAGGCCTTCAGCGCAAACGCTGAGATTTGCTGGAGGAGACATTTCGCCTTGAGGCTGCACCACCAGCTCCTGCCTGAGTTCCCAGCCTGCCCTTCCGATTGCAGACTTGCCAGCCCCCACAGTCTTGGGAGCCAAATTCCCGCAAGAAATTTCTTAAACATACGTGTCTCCATCCTGCCAGCTGTTTCCCTGGAGAAACCTGCTTGACGCGGCTCCATGTGGGGGCCGGGGGCTGTGGTGCTGCAGACCCCAGACCTCTGTCTTTGGCGGTGACACTCACTTCAGCTCTTGGGCATCACCTATTGCTTGGTGTTCTGCAGGGATGCCACTGATGGGGACAGCCTGGAGACGAATTCAGCCTCCTCCCGGTCTGCTAACGTCAGGGGAGCCCCGGCAGCCCCTGTCTGCACCAGCTGGGGGTCCTGAGAGTGGACAGCAAAGGCCATTTCAGTGACAGGCCCTGTGGGGCCTCCCTCATAGCTCAGATGGTAAAGAATCTGTCTGCAATGTGGGAGACCAGAGTTCAATCTCTGGGTCAGGAAGATCCCCTGGAGAAGGGAATGGCAACCCACTCCAGTATTTTTGCCTGGAGAATCCCATGGACAGAGGAGTCTGGTGGGCTACAGTCCATGGGATCGCAAAGAGTTGGACACAACTGAGCAACTCTCTCTCTCTCACACACACAGAGGTTCTGCAGACACAGAAACAGATTAGAAGCACCTGGTGAATGGAGCTTCACCAGCCTCCTGAGCGTGACCGTCCATCTGGGATGCAGGTTTCAGAAGGGGTGGATCCTTGAAACACAGCAGGGGGACTTCCCTGGTGGTCCAGCGGTTAAGACTTCACCTTCTAATGTAGGGGATGTGGGTTCGACCCCTGGTTGGGCAGATAAGACCCCACATGCCTCTCAGCCAAAAAAACCCAAAACTTAAAACAGAAACAAAATTGTAACAAATTCAATAAAGACTTTAAAAACAGTCCACATCAGAAAAAAAAAAAGAAAGAAACACAACAAGGACAGAGGTTAGGAACCTAAGCAGGAGGTCCACAGAGGCCCTGAGAAGCCAGTGACCTAGTCTGCTGGCATTTATGACATGAACATAAAAGGAAGGGTCTACAGGGTGACCCATGACATGCAACCCAATGTCATTTAGGGGACAACTAGTCAGAGTCATTCCTTGTTGGAATTCCCTGGTGGTCCAGTGGGTAGGATGCCGTGCTTTCCTTGCAAAGGCCTGGGGTTCAATCCCTGGTCAGGAAACTAGGATCCCACAAGCTGCACAGTGCAGTTAAAAAATAAAAAGCATCATTCCTTGTCTTCCAGCCACACTCTCAAAGGTAAAACTCACTCCCACCCATCAGGAAGGCTATTATCAAAAGACAGAAAATAAGAAGTGTTGGTAAGGATGTGGAGAAATTGGAAGGTTTGTGTATTGTGCAGGGGGGATGTAAAATGGTACAGCCGCTGTGGAAAACACTGTTGAAGTTCCTAAAAAAAAATCCTACATAGACATGATCCAGCAGCCCTGCTTCTGGGGATTTGTACCCGGGGGATCTGAGAGCAGGAATAATGGTTAATTCTTCATATCAACTTGACTGGGCCACAGACAACCTAGACATTTGGCCAGTAGTTACCCTGGGTGTTTCTGGATGAGATTAGCATCTGAATCAGTAGACTGAATAAAGCAGATTGCCCTCCCAGAGTGGGTGGGCCTCAGCTAATCAGTTGATGACATGTCTAGAACAGAAAAGTCAAGTAAGAGGGGACTTCTGCCCACCTGTGAGCTGGGACATCTGTCTTTTCCAGCCTTCAGACTCGGAGCAACATCAGCTTTTCTTGGGTCCTGAGCCTGCCGGCTTTTGGACTGGAACTTACACCATTGGCAATGCTGGGCCTTAAGTTCACTACAGCCTCAGATCTTGGCCTCCTTGGCCCCCTACTAAATCTGTGTGTGTGTGTGCATGTGCGTGTGGTATGTGTGTGTGTGGTGTGTGTGCGTGTGTGTGCATGCGTGTGGTGTGTGCGTGTGTGTGGTCTGTGTGCGTGTGCATGTGCATGTGTGTGCGTGTGTGCGCATGTGTGTGCACATGTGCGTGTGGTGTGTGTGCATGTGTGCGTGTGCGTGTGCGTGGTGTGTGTGCGTGTGCATGTGGTGTGTGTGTGCATGCGCGGTGCGTGTGTGGTGTGTATGTGCACGTGTGTGCATGTGTGTGTGTGCGTGCGTGTGTGCGTGTGTGTGCGTGTGTGTGCGTGTGTATGCGTCTGTGTGCGTGTGCGGTGTGTGCTCTGAGTGGGGTGCTGCTGTGACCCCGTTGCAGTTGGGACCAGGCTGAAGGCGAAGCTGCTTTTGTTCTCATCACTGGCGAAACCGTCATCTCCTGGGCCCCGCAGCCAGGATGTGGAGGAAACCCACGCCCCCACCCCGAACGAAGCCTCCTCCTCTCGCCAAAACCAAATGTGCCTCCCGACACAGAGAGCTATTTATAGGCGCTCTGAGAGCCTGGCACGTCCTCGCCAAAACTGGAAAACAGCTCCGTGCAAAGACAGTGATGGAAACTGCAGTCTCGGGCCGCCCCCTTCTTCGGTCTTCCTTCCAGATGACCACGTCCCCTGCTCCAGACTCCTATGGCCAATCGGGAAGTGACCAACACCCAGAGGCCCAGGAGCCTGGGACGGTGTCCAAATTCTGGGCATCCTGCAAGCATGTGGGGAGGGAAGTGGGTCCCAGGCTTGTGGGGTCAGAGGTCACAAACTCCACCTGACCAACTCCAAGGGGGTGTCCATCATCTCTAGGCTGAAGCCTGGAGCCCGACAGGCAGTGGGCAGTTGTGCAGATTCCAGACCATAGCCCCAAGGCCTTGGCAAATCCCAGGGGGCCAGGAGCCTTTGCAAACTGATGTGTTACCCGGGCAGAGAAGGCATTGGCACCCCACTCCAGTACTCTTGCCTGGAAAATCCCAAGGATGGAGGAGACTGGTGGGCTGCATCCATGGGGTTGCGAAGAGTCAGACTCGACAGAGCGACTTCACTTTCACTTTTCACTTTCATGCATTGGAGAAGGAAATGGCAACCCACTCCAGTGTTCTTGCCTGGAGAGTCCCAGGGATGGCGGAGCCTGGAGGGCTGCCGTCTATGGGGTCGCACAGAGTTGGACACGAGTGAAGCGACTTAGCAGCAGCAGCAGCAGCAGTGTTACCTGGCGGCTCAGGGACCCCACACCAACCTTGGTGGGCTGCCGGGAGGGAGCGCCTGCTGGGCAGTGGAGGCGAGCAGCATCAGTCCCACCAGAAGGCCCGTCTCCAGGGGCTTCAGGCTGGGCCCCAAGCCAGAGGAAGCAGCCGGGGCACCGCCAAGGCTGCCATACGGGCAGCGCCATGCTGGTGGCCCAACAGCCTCTCCAGGCTAAAGGGGGACCCTGGGCACTCCTGGGAGGCCTGCCCAGGCGAGGCCTCGCCTTTGCTGGACCGCCAAGGCTGGGGGTGAAACGGCCTCC